ATCAAGTTAGGAAAATGTCCGGAAATGAAGTTTAAGTTCTAAAACAAAAAGATAGATTTGATGTCGCTTAGCGTATCAGACACAACCGAAGCTACGCTTTATCGAATTGGTGTGCAATTTATACCTTTTTGAAGCTAAGATAAAGGGCTACAACTTTGATGAAGACCACTCCATCCAGTTTGTAGTGTATCTAGGTCAAAATTTCAAATTACAAAACTAGAATCTTGTAATTAGGCTAGTTAACTGTACTATGCGTAAACGACAATAACTCAGGCTATCGAAGTCCGATTGAGGCATTTTCAGTGCCATTGGAAAGCTAAGACATAACAATACAACTTCTATGTTTTGGCCAAATGCTAATTTAGTGCATATCAGGGTGAACAGATGCGGTCAGATTGGTGAAATGTCAACACTGTCCACAGAGTTCTACCTATGGCAGTCAGGGGTATTTTTATCTTTTGACATGCTACAGTGCTCGGATTGATCTGAAATTTTACAGGTAGCCATAATACATCATTCCCTATAGCTTTTATGTTTTGTGCTAAGCCTAATTTAGCCTCCCTCATGGTCAAACAAAACCGGTCAGAACAGGGGAATTACAAAACCAAAAACTGGAATTCATAAATACAAGTGCTAATCTTCACAATTCTAGCTTGAAACACCACTTCACCTCCTTGTCTACACTTATACACAGAATATTCCCTCTAAACAAGAAGAAATATGCCTGAACAATACAAAATCCTAACTTACCAATTCTCCAAAAATCATCACAACTACTTGCATAGCTATCAATCAACCAAAAATATGAATTGTATAGCAACTTAAGCAAGAATAAAGGAACTAAAGATGATAGACAGCCAATATACCTCAATAATAGGCTTACAATAGATATCCTTCACCTCTCCTTGCAAAGTTTAGCTCCCCAAGCTTCCTAAACCCTCAAAGAACGATTTAATCGGTTTAGAATCCTGTTTTTCACTCACAAAAACTAAGCTACAAGATGATAATGGAGTTATCTTGTGTTTTCTCTCTCAAGGTTTCGGCCACAAGCTGAAAAAAATGAAGAGGAATGAAGCTTCAAGATGGTTTTAAGGTTTAGTCATAGTTTGGGTCAAAAGTTCTTGGATGGTCTCCACTTGTCCACACAAGATCACATCTCAATTTTTTTTCTTTTCCTTTGGTTTTTTGAGGTCAAATATTTTGGCCCTCTTGATCAGCTTTAGAGCTGATATTTTGGCTCTAATCATAATGAGATTAACTTGATAAAATGGTGGTCAAATGGTGTGTTTAATCAGTAGTGAACGATACCCGTCGGTTCGAGCCGATTTTCCTTAAATCGCATATACTAGGGTTTTAATTTATAATTCACTAACTTATTATTATCACTTCTAATCATACACTTAATATCATCTAAAACTCACTCTTAATCACCAAATTTGATCCACCCTCTGTACCGGATAGTCACACTACGGATAGGCGAAAAAACCCTAATGCGCGCTAACTTGAAAACGAAAAGAAAAAACCCTTAATTCTATGTTCATTTGCACTTATTGTGGGGTGATTGGGTAGTAAGGTTATTATAAAGTAATAATTTTCAAATAAAAGGAAATTTTCAAGGAAAATATCAGGAATTTTGCAAGTCCTCACAGATTCGACCTCTAACATGGACGAATATGCAGGTCAGAAATAGAGCGGATTCATCATTAATGCTGGAAATTTGATGTTTTAATGCTTAAAACTAACACTCATGCCTTTAATCATTACCCCAAGTCCCTATCCAAGCTGATAAATATCATATACTAGATAAACAACCATAATCACAACTAAAAATTACAAACCTTAGCTGAAAATTATAAGCTAATAAGCAAGACCGTGAAATCTTCCATAAAATCCATCACTATCAAGCCATGTATTGCTTCAATTGCAAAATAAGAAAGAAAAAGAGAGGTTTCTAGTATAATACCTCAAAACCTCCAAAATAAGTTGTGATACAAGGACTTTCTTCCACCCAAAAGTTGCACCAAGCTCACCTCCAAGCTTCCCCAAAGATTAATCGGAGTGGATTCAAGTTTCATTTTACTTTTCTCAAGAATCAAGCAAGCTATCAAGATGGAATTTTTGGAAGTTTTGCTCTCTTTTCTTTCCCTATAATTTCAGACAAGGTGAAGGAAGTGGAGAAGAAATGAAGCCAAGAGAAAGATAAGAAGATAGAAAATTAATTTGGTCAAAGTTGGTTGGATCCTTGACACTTGTCAAGTCAAGATTTCCCTTCTTTGTTTTTTTCTTTTCTTTCCTTTCCTTTGGTAAAAAATGGTGGCTTCTTTATACGATATTTTAGGGATGATTAGCTGAAATAAAAGCAATGTGATTAAGGTAATAAAGTAGTGTTCAAATGATATACTCACTCGGTAGCAAACAGTGCACGTCGGTTCGAGCCGTTTTTCCTTAATTCGCACGCACTTGTGTTTTTACTTATGGTTCACTAGTTTATTATTATCACTTTTAATCACATACTTTTCCTTACCTAATACTCATTCTTATCCACAAATTTAGTGCACACAGCTCACCAAGTGATCACACGGCAAAAATACGCGAAAACCCTAATTTACGCTAATTATAAAACTAAAGGTACAACCTTGATTCTATGATTTATTGTAACTATTGAGGGAGTAAATGAGTAGTAAAGATATTATAAAGTAATTTAATCAAAATAAAAGAGTATTTCAAGAAAATAAGAAGAATTTTGCGAGTCCTCACAAAAGAAATCAAAGAATCCAGATGCACCAAAACACTCTCCAATTCACCTTTCCTAAGAATGTTTTCTTATGACTTGAGGCATTTTGTGTCAAGTCGATATGGTGAACATTCCTCTAATATTACAAGACCTAATTAGTATCTTGTCTAATGGATGGTTTTATTCATTAATACTCAGCCATTTATTTTGCTGCAAAAAAATTTGTCTTTTTCTTATTTGTCCATCACGTGAGGCATGTGGATGGATCTCTTTCTAGTTTTGGACATTCAAAAAAAATAAATAAATACAGGTTAACAAGAGGGGGAAAAAGAAGATGTTCTTGTGACTTGCAATCCTGCTAGTCACAAGGTTTTTGGGTCTCACTTTTAATGGTTAATTATCGGGTCCCCATTGAACTTGTGACCAACAAAACATGACACAAAAGATTTTTTATGAGTATTATTTGCATGTCACAAATAAATTCTAGTTTTTTAACTTTCTATTACATTCAAAATTCAAGTCATAAAAAGTATTCTTGCAAGTCACAATTGATAATGTGACTTTCGTATATAAGTTATAAAAAATTGTGACTATTAAATCCTTGACTCTCTTTTTTTTTTTTTTTTGAAAAGACCTCTCATTTTATTAAAATCAAGAAAATTAAAATATACAGGCTTCAGTGAGAAATAGCTCGAGTACGAATCGCAGGAATCTGCGACCTATCTAAACCTAAGGCCCCCCTTGCCAACCTTGGCAACTCAGACTGTGTCGTGTACAAGATAATACCTCAGATTGTGTCCCAACCTTGGCTAAGGCATCCGCCACTTGATTCATTTCCGATAACAATGCCCCACCATCCACTCCAAACTTTGGATTGCCAGTAACGTTTCCAGATCCAACCGAACTAACCACGGACACCTGAATCGTCGTACCAGTAGGTTGACTAACACAAGAGAATCCACCTCCACCCGAATCCACGAGAATCCCCGAAGACGGCATTGTTGCACCCCAAACACCAAAGCCTTTATCTCCACTTGTAGACATGTCAGTTCCCCAAAAGGAACAGAAAAGCCAAACAAAAAGCACTAGACGAATCCTAAGAACACCACCCCCGCCACTAATGCCCGGGTTGCCAAGCGAGCACCCATCCCTATTTAACTTGAAGTCTCCTGGGCTGGAAATTCCCAACAAACCACTCTATGGGAATACCGAGGCCTCCACCCAGAGAAGGTGGAGAAGACCGCCGGCCAGGAGCCAACCCCAATAAACTCACCTGCAAACTTCCTGGAAAATAGCCCTATCACATCCGCCAAGATACGATCACAAATGGTCTGTCGACGCAGGAGCTGCCCTTCAAAATTGCAAGATTCCGTGCCAACCAAATATGCCAACAAATAATGCAAGGCAAAACGAGTGTAATGACTCCATACGAGAGTGCCGAACCGGTTGGCACCACCAAGCCGCCAAACGCGACCGCACCCCATACCTCTATAACTCACTCCAGCGCCATTCCCAAAAAAGGTCCACAAGAACTGAGCTAACTCACCTTCCGCAAAGACATGATCCAACGATTCAGATTGCGAGGCCAAGCAGCAAAAACACTTGGAAGGGCCATACACTTGCAATCTTCCTAGGGATGACGCCAACGGTAACCGATCCGCGCAGCAGTCTTATCATGAAGAATGAAATCTTGATTGGAATTACAGGTGCCAAACCCTATCAAACATGAAAGATGAGGGAGTCTGACTACCAAGCAGCACGTATGTGGAAGCAATGGAAAAATCTCCTGACTCTGTCAAGGCCCACACCGCACGATCGTCCGTGGACCCCACTGGGGCAACTTTAGTAACTATCTCTGAGACTATGTCATCAGGAACCCAAAGCCGTAGCAACTGTTGATTCCACCTTCCATTCAATACGAAATCCCTAACTAAGTGATCGGAAACACTTTGTAACCGTTGACACAGAGGACCAGATCCCATCCAATTGTCAAACCAGAAATTACACTGTCTTGACCGCACCTCCCACCAAAGGTTTTGCTCCGCCACCTAACGAATTTGAAGCAAACGCCTCCACATACATGAACTGCCCTGAACCGCCGCTACCATGCATGGATGACTCTGCCGACAATATTTGGCTCTCATAAATGTCGCCCATAAACACTCTTCCGTACGGAAACGCCACCACAATTTGAGCGAGAATGCTGTATGAACATCCAGTAGCGATCGAACACCAACCCCGCCCTGTGACAAGTCGGCACACAGGTCTACCCACTTAATCCAATGATGTCGGAGGCCACCTTCCCGCTCCCCCAGAGAAAATTTGCCATAGCCCGTTCAACTAAGGCTAGAACTCCCTTCGGAGGACATGAAGCTGCCAATAAATGAGTTGGGATTGCTGAAAGCACGTGTTTGATGAGTACAATCCGACCCCCATGGGATAGAAAGCTGGACCTCCATGATGAAACTTTAGAAATAACTGACTGTACCAGCTCCATGAAATATAGGCACTTCCGGCGCCCCACAAAAAGCGGACAACCCAAATAACGCACGGGAAACGACTTAAGACCAAACCCAGTTACCCGTCGAACCCTTGCCACACAGTGACTAGGCAATTTAGCATGCACCATGAACCCGCACTTCTGAACATTAATCTCCAGCCCCGAAACTGCTCCATAGTTCTCAATAATCTGCAAAACACATCTCAGCGAAGAGGATGAAGCACCTGAAAAAACCAGGACGTCATCTGCATAACTGAGATGAGTGATCTTAGGACAGCCCGCGGAACTGAAAAGCACTTGAACTCCCGATGCTCCACTAACTGGTTCAAAGAACGGGACAGCACCTCCGCGCCAATAATAAACAAACCTGGGGATAACGGGTCCCCTTGACGAAGCCCTCGTGTAGACTTAAAGAAACCCACACTGGCCCGTTGATTAGAACCAAAAACCATACATTCGAGACCAATTTCCAAATCCTATCAATCCATTGCTCCCTAAAACCAAATCTCCTCAAAACCATTGTCAAAAAAATCCAGGAAACACGGTCATAAGCCTTTGACATATCTAATTTCAGAGCTACATCGGCATTTCTGGAGGTCCTCCCCATATTAGAGAGCAACTCTTGTGCAAGCAAGAAATTATCCGATATAAGCCGCCCCGAACAAAGCCACTCTGCTGTGGGAAAATGATCCTCGGAAGGACTAGGGCCAAGCGATCCGCCAAAATTCGCGAAATTACTTGTTAACAAAGTTACACAAGCTAATCGGGCGGAATTGAGAAAAATTCTGTGGGTGCCCAACCTTAGGAATGAGTGCAATAGAGGTCGCTGTAATAGCCTGAGGCAAGTCAGCCCGCAGAAAAACTACACACAGCGCTAACCATCCGCACTGACAACTGACCATGCAACCGTAAAGAACTTACCCGTATATCCATCCGACCCCGGTGCACTCTCCCCATCCATCGCGAACACCGCACTTCGAATCTCCACCTCAAAGGGAAACTGCTCCAGCAAATCATTCTCCTCATCAGTCAAAATTGTTGGGATATGCTGAAGCAAATCAGAGGAAGATGCTGGACGCTGATCCGTAAACAACCCCTCGAAGTACCGTATCACCTCTGCTCCAATCCTCTCATCCGATTCACCCACTCCCCTTGGCCATTTCTAATCCTGTGAATGATCGAACGTGCCTTCTATTTTTGACACACAGAATGAAAGAATCTTGTATTTCGATCTCCTCCTGAAGCCACCTAACCCGAGCCTTCTGCTTCCAAAACAACTCCTCCACTCTCAAGGCCACCCGTAACTGGCCTTTGGCAAGATGTAAATGCATCCTAGCAGCATCTGAATCATCGCTTTCTACACGAACCTCCGCCAACCGCACCTCCTCTTCCTTTTGCCTAGCTGTCTGAAAGATATCCCCAAAACCTCCTACTCCAATCCCGTATAGTACCCCTCAGCGTTTTAATTTGCAACAGAGAACTTGCAAAGGGGAGCCAGCGCACGGTTTGCCCCAAGAATCCTGAACCATAGGCAAGAAGTCCTCGTGCCTCGTCCAGACATTAAGGAACCTGAACGACTCGGTTTAGTATCCAGTCTGGTTGACACTGAAAGAAGGAGCGGAGCATGGTCTGATAACTCCCGGGCTAGGTGCGACACCGCCAATGACATCCCGTGTCAATATAACCCTCATTCACCAAAATTCGATCCAATCTTTTCCAGATTCTAGCCCTGCCATGTCTATTGTTAACCAGGTAAACCGAGCCCAGAAAAACCGACATCCATGAGATTTACTCATTGATAAACTGTCTAAACTCCATAGCTTCACCAGGATTAAAAGCCCGACCCCCTTTGTTCTCCTCAGCATCTAAAATTACATTGAAATCCCCACCCACAAGCCATGCAGCGAAACCTGGGTTACCCCGCATTAAACCCTCTCATAGCTCACACCTCTCCACTGGAGTACATCGCGCATGCACAAAGGAGACAACAAGGTGGGAGCCCGGCACATGATCGTGAGAAAGTCGCATGACACATGCTGGGGGCTCTCTCCAACCACCAAGCCTGAAAAAGGCTCTTGGAAGAACACCCAGATCGAACCCACCACATTATGCACCACTCCATGAAAACCTAATTTGTGTCTATACTGTTCAGCTTTATCAACCTCCAACCAAGGTTCACAAAAAGCCAAAAATTGGAGATTGTTCATTTGAATCAATTTTTTAATCCTTCTCAATTTCGGAGCTTTAGAAATGCCCCGAACATTCCAAAATAAACCTTTAATCATTGGACAAAGCAGGAAGAGAAATCTGCGAATTTATCCATTTAGAACGTAATTGCCTGTCAGAAGGAAAATGTGCACGAATACCTTTTTGTTTGTTCCTCAAAGCCGCCACCGAATTGTCAATAACTCTAGCTGTTGACACTATAGTTTCATCCTGGCCCCGCACCAGCTCCGTAGCAAATCGTGGGGATAAGGAACCCACTGAAAGGGCCTCCTCGTCACTGCTGGACTCCACCCTCTGAGCTCCCACAAGTGCAACAGATCGCGCCTCAACACCATCTGGTTTGCTCCCCTCCACACCATCCCCTCGCACGTCAGCGACAATAGCATACGGGAAGATAATCTCCAACCTACACCCAGCTCTACATCCCCCTGCTGCTCCTGCTGCATCCCCACGTCCTGCACTCCTCCACAACCGACATCTTGATGCGCATCATCCACAACTGTGGGTGCCTGCCCCATATCCTGCTCCATCCCCTCAACCTCCAAATCCTCCAAAGGGTCAGAGGCAGTACCAACCTCCACTTCGACCTCCCCAACCTGCTACCCAGGCGCTGCTGCCACCAGCCCCTCGATTGCCCCCACCTCCCTGGAGGTCAAGACGCAGGAAGTTGCCGCCCCATGTCCCTGGAGCAGCAACTGCTTCTGGACTCTGGAGCCGACAGCCCAGCTGCCTCTGCCCCAACGCTACCTGACGTCGCTGCAGGTATTCCAGGCCGCAACTCACCCTACTTAGCTTTACCCTTATCCAAACTCGTGACAGGCGCAGAAGCCTCTTGAAGTTTCAAGGAAACCCGCCCCACCTTCACAGGCCACAGGGAAGGATCCCTCCGAAAACAACTTTCCTGCTGATGACCGAATTTGGAACAGAAAGAGCAATAAGGAGGAATGTTTTCAAAGTCCACCGGCTGCCAAAATCCATATTCCTCATCCCCTATCCATACGCGTTTAGCAAGAGGCATAGAGATATCTACCTCTACCAACACTCGCGCAACAGAGGGCCGACGAAGATCACCGGTTGCCGCATCCAACTTGAGGGGGTGCCCCAACATAGAGGCTAACTGCATCAACTGATTTCTTTGGAAAAAGGGGATAGGCAGACTTGGGAAACTTACCCAAACTGGAGCAATTGCAAGCTCTTGACCAGACCTGAAGTCGATGCTCCACTTCGAGATCGACATTGGTGACTTGCCTATGAACCAGACCCTGCGAGCAAACAAGCGAGTATAATCGTCGTCCACCAAGGGTCTAATCAGAACGTGCTTCTCGTCCAGGAGGCCCACTGAACAATGCCCTTTGAGCCCAGAGTCACGAAGAATTTTCGTATGGCCTCCATGGAGGGCCTGCCCCGCACTGAATCTCCCTACCAGAGCCTGGTGGAAGGGAGCAGCCAAACTCTCAATCTCCTGGCGAGAAATACGAAGAGAGGGCTCACCTCTGAATGTTGAGACAACACCCAGCGTTACCCCATATTCATCATTGGAACGGCCAACTACTGCCGCAAACAAAGGGGCCACAAGCTTCTGGCCGCCACCATCCGGCGGCTTCGCCGCCGCAGCCGTCATCAGGACCAAAACAAAAACCTAGCCGCAAGGGTTTCCAGCCTAGTTTGTCGGAGAGCTTCTGATTTTCCTATAAAATTAAACCCTCGTACTGATATTAGTTCATGTATATCTAGTGTTCAAGACTTGACGTACTTTTTCTACCTCTGTTGTTATAGCCATGACTACCTCTATTGTTATAACTCGTTCTATTGTTGTAACTCGAGTTTCTCTGATTGGATTCACTTTGCTTCTTAATTATATTATTGCTTCTCAAATTCAATTACGTCTATCTAAATCCTTGACTCTCATGTATATGTCATAATGTGGTCACAAAACTTTTGTTACTGTCTAGACTTTTTTATGACTATCATTGACGAGTCACAAAAACAACTTTTTCTAGTAGTGCTTAAAGCAAATGCTAGTATTTACAAAATGAATCTCACAATGGTTTCTTCACAAGTTTTGTAGCTTTCTAGATCTATTTTATAATGGTATAAAATATATAGTTATTTGACATTTATATCTTTAGATTTGTCTATTTTCTAAATAGGTGCCTGCACTTGAATAAATTTATTTTGAAAGTTTCATGACTGAATTAGTAAGTCCAAATGCAACAATTTTCCAATGATCTCCATGTTAAAGTTTTAGTATTTTGTTTGAATTTTCCAACGGTATAAATATTACCCCTATTTGTATTTGTATATTGATATATGATGATTTTACTTGTTAGCACCGAATGTAAAAATAAATTTTCAATCATTTTACAAAATCGTTCATAGCTACTTTGTGCAAGTTAGGTCCAAACATATATTAGGCACGTATCCACAGAATCATTATCAAATTATAAGCTATGGATTGTTGTATAATAATAAAAAATGATATGGTTTTATCTTCGAGACTAGGCGGATCCCTTCAAGGCTAATGTGTATCGAAATTGCTGCATCAAGGTGTGTAGTTCTCACCATCTCTATCTTTTATGCAGTATTTCATAAACAAAAAGTTTCATTGTAAAAAATTACTTTAGTATGAAAACGGATCGTGCATGACCTACTTTGTGATTGAAAAGTTCTTCTATGTGTATCATATGGGTAGCATGTTTTACTGATGACTCAATTTTATGTGTCCTATTCATGGATAATTATAATCATCTCTAAAATGTTGTAAATAGGCAATGAAGGCTCTAGTTCTAATTGTATTGTATCGTTTTGTCGCTCATGGTTTATTGTTGTCACTTTCCAAATTATCAATGGTTAAGAAGGCCTACTTGACTGCCTATCTAGTAGGGTGAAGCATTAGGCTAAGTACTCAATGTCGATGAACGCATGTACTACTTTATGACTCTTCATATTGAATTACGGATGTTACATTTTTTATTGTATTGATCTCTTTTATGAAGACGATTGCTCAAACTTTAAATGCCTTGTTGTCATTCATATCATGAGTAATAATGTGTATTCATTATATATATATATATTTATATATTTGTATGAAATGGTTTTTGTGTGAAAGTTATGCATATGCCAAATGTGAAATCATTTTAAAAAGAATGTGTTTGAGTGGTGAATATAACTTGAGCGTACGTTGCTCGACCCACATTTTTAATGTTTTTCTTCCGTACAATAAGTTGAGCATCTATATATTGGGATTGATGATGATTAGATCATTCAATTGCAAATCGAGTTTTAGGGATCATGGGATGAAATCTGAGTACATGTCCATGATTTTTCAAGAGCATGCAATTCTATCTTGAAGTTTTAAAGCAACATTTGAACTGCTTATGTATTTTTGAGTTTTGACTTGTCTTTTTAGCAGTTGTTGAGATTTTAATACTACGGAAGTAATTGTATTGGGACATTCAAGTCTGAAGTTTTAATGAATTTTTACAAGTTAGGATTAAGATGTCTTTTATATTTATGGGAGTTGAATCTGACGAATACATCGCGGCACGTCTGAAATCAAATCCATATATTCAGGCTTAGGGCGCGACGATTATGTCCTTGAAGACTTAGCATAATTATCGTTAGGAGTTGAAATTCTTAGTTGATGTGATCATCTTACTTACCAACTTTTAATGTTGTCAACCTTGAAGGCTAACTAGGGACTGTAGCAAGAGCATTTTTATATGTATGTTTTAGTCTAAAATGTGATCAGGGTTGTCCGACCCGAGTAGTAACACTGTGTAGCTGGTCATCCTTAATCCTCCTAATACCATTAGGTTCTTGAGCACTATAGTTGACATGTCGTTGACTTTCCTTTGTCATGTTGGGTGGGAAAACCCAAGTTGACAGTAACAGAGCCAAGATTTTTTTTGGGGGGTCAAAATTTTTTCCTAATAAAATTATCTTAATATATATTATGTTCAAAATAATTTTCTTCTATTTAAATATATGACATCTAAAAATATCAAATATTAAATTTAATTATAAAGGTATGTCTATTCATAAATATGTGGTATAGTCATAACAAAAATTAATAAAAAAGATAAGTTTTGATTAAATATTTTATAACATCACAAACCATCTAATTTGCACATATGAGAAGATGCTCTCCAATATGTCACCTATGCAATATATATATATATATATGTATAACCATGTAATATAAATGTAACTATTTTCAATTGAAAAAAGATAAAAGTTATGTTAACATAATTTGAAATTTTAACATCGTTTCTTAGAAGTAAATTGAGCTCTACGCTCTTTCATAGAACTAAATTCATCTATGATTGAATCACTGCTAAATTTTCAGCAACTCCATTTTCTATATACACAGTTAGACAATCAATCAAGAAATTATCTTCCATCTTATTTTGGAGCTTTGTCTTGATTATTTTCATAATTGAA